GGNGGGGGGGGGAAGGGGACGTGTGTACTGCTTGTAGATATACGCAACTTAATATCACAAATTCGTTGAAAAACCATACGCAAACACGATCATTGGTAGGACAATTATACGGCGATGCGCAGTGACGCGGATACTGCGCGCGCCGGCACACTCATACACATGTTTAATTACAGTATTCGTACAAGTGCTTACGACGTACTCCTAAAAACGCCTCCTCCCTTCGGCGTTCTCCCTTTCTCTCTCTTTCTCTCTCTCTCCCTAATCGGTAAATTGACTATTAATATTCCCGTTGAGAATTTTACAGATTCAGTCAGGGGCTCGGTGCGTGGAAAGTCTCCTCCCGCGAAAGGCGCGACGGCATATAATCGCGCGTGCACGAGGCGCCGAGGGGCGTCGAAGAGCTCGTCGAGCCTCATTTCGCGTTAGACGAGACCTCTAAGTCGATTTAAACCCGTGGCTTAATTAATTACGATTAATGATAATTTTTTTTCTATACATGAAAAATATCTAGACTCTCTTCTGTCAGTTGATTCACGTTCGATCTTACTTAGAAATCGTATCGACTTGGTTCATTTTCCAATTCTTTGCAGCAGTCTTTTTTTTACGTGAAGTTAGAACGGACCGATCATCTCGTTCGCGAGTTATTTTTCGAATGTTTTTTTTTTTAGTTTATAAGTATATAATAAGAGTTTCTCACAATAGAAACTCGCATAAATTTCTAATAAATTTTAAATAGCTATCCCATAATTTATAAATTAAATTAGTTTTGCCGCTCGGAGAAAATAGGAAGAGAGAAGAGCGATAAAGAAATTCTACACGGTGGAAGTGAAGCGTCAACGAGCCATTCGGGATGACTAGAACGGACCACGTTTCTCTCTCTCTTTCCCTTCGACTCCTCGTGCACGCGTACCTGATATACTCCGCGCCGTTGCTTTTCGCGCTCCGATCTCCTTTCAGAGATGACGTAAAATAAATATTAAAACTATATCGAGATATATCAACGGTGAGCATATTTTAGCGAATGCGAATCTCTCTTTCTCTCTGTGTTGTCTGTATGTTCGTACGTGTTCTCTGTCTGTATGCATAATATATATTTGTATTTATATTTATATATATATATTTATTTATTTATATTTGTATTTATATTTAGACTTTTATGTCCGCTATACCGTAATTGTAATAATTACACTGCGCGCGCGCGCGCGGTAACTCGTGCCCCTTTCCTTCCTCCGTTTAACCATTTTCCCCCCTCCCCCCCTCTTCATTTTCGTCGTGCGCCTCTCTCTTTCTCTATATATAAATCCATATTTATAATATATTTATATAATATATTATAATATTTAATAGTATAATGCTATCGGTAATGAGGATGGCGGTGACGATGACGATGACGACAATGAGCCGATGTCGCGACAACTAACGATACCTTAACGATACCTATATAATTCCTATTTATGGCAGACTATCTAAAACGGTAGGATCAACGTCCGTCATGAACGAGAGTGCGTTTGCTTTTCGGGACCTCCTCCGCATTCAGGACAACGTAAATAATGTTAACGCAGTTCGTTCGCGGATACCGCGCGCGGTGGGTAGGTGGGGTGGAGGGGGGGGGGACGTCTCTGTCGTGCAGAGAGGAGCGAAGAAACGAAGGGGTTCGCCGCCGGCGCGACGAATCATGCCCGTCTTCGAGAACGGTATCGCCGGTATCGTGTCAACGTATATATGTATATGTGTGTGTATGTATATATGTTTGAATGCGTGTGAATGCCCTTGATATTAATCGTTACAACACATCTAACACGTTCGCGCCGATTTGCGCGACATTTAAATAATAAACGAACGATATCCCGGCTGCGCGAGGACCACACGCCGTTCTAAGATCCGACACTTGACGACAAACGACGCCGATATTACACCTACACGTATATATATATATATATGTATATATAGGTGTATGCATGGGAGGAGTGGGGAGGGGAGGGGAGGGGGTGATTTTTACCGACGACGGTGTGTGACCGGATGAGCGACTGGGAGAGGGGGGGAGGTGGTGGATCACGTTAGAAAAAGTCTTGTCGCGCGCGTGTCTTTGGATATTTTCACTACGTAATAACGTACTATACAGTTAAATATACGCTGCGACTTCTGTCCGCCTTCTGCTCGCCCTTTACCACCTTTCTATACCGTGTCGCGCTATTGCAACGTTCCTTTATATGCACCTTCGACCCCGAGTACGTGTGTCTCTTGTGTATGTGTGTATGTGTGTACGTGTCGTGTCCACGCACCGCGGATGACACCGACCGGCGAGGTGCCGCGCGCGTGACACGCGCGGTGCGTGCGCGACATCAACGTCGTGTACTTAGTACTTTCACTATATGGCTGCACAACTACGAGGAGGTTGCCCCTCGCCGTTCGTCGAGGATTTTCCGTCCACTCTCGGCGAAGGGATCAGGCGTGCTCACTCTTTCGCCCTCGAAGATCCTCCGAATGCTCATTCATGATGATGATCCCTGCCATCCGGCGACGTGACGGACCGGGTCGTCTCGATCGAGGTCTCACGTGTACCCATTTCGGATGACGTGGATCGCGTTACTCGGTGCGGTGTGACGTGGAGACACGGCTACATGCTCGGCTGATTATTCCTCCTCCTCGCTCTCCTCCGCCGGACCGTACATGTCGGCCAGCTTGTCGAATCTCGGGCCCCAGGCGCCTAAGTACTCGTACTCGTGTTGCTCATCATCTGTACCTATATAGAATTTAAAAGAGATTGATAGCTTAATACAAATAATATATTAATAGAAAATATATTTGTATTATTTATCAACACGAATAATATTTCATATTATGACGAAAGAGTGAAAACAATTTTAAAAAGGAAAATTTGGAAGTCGGAATAGCGCACTTTTTTTTGCAAAGTATGCAAAATATTAGATATCTCAAAAATTCGTCCTTTTACGTACCGGAAGCTAATGATTCCAGAGAACCCGCGGTGCTTCCGCCACCCTCATACGCGTAATTCCGTAAATCGTCGAAGGGGGGTGCGTTTGGATCACTGTCGGCCCTCTTCTTGTGATCCTCAATGAAAACGCCGACGTTCGGCTCCGGTCCCAGCGGATCTGAGAATAACGCTTTGATTATTCTTTAATTCCCATGGACTTATTCCGTTTCGCTTTTTTAGTAATAAAAAAAATATATACATATATACGTACAGGCAACTTTACACGGTGGCAGCTTGCCGCCCATCTCCGGTATCGGACCACCGATCGGGATCTGCAGAGGCGTGATATCGAACGCGGTCATGTCGTCCTCTCCGCCGCCCTCGTCGTCGTAGTTGATGATGTTTTCCCTCACGTCGTCATCCGGTCCGGGGTACTTTATGTGCGACTCTCGTCTTCTGTTGTAGACGACGAATACCAACACGAGAACTGTAATTTTGCACGTTAACGAAATTAATTCGCATTGCCCGTGTTCGGCGACGGAGTCGTTGTCAATATAGCGAAGTGATACTTCTCTGCTGACTGAGAGTTCAAGCAAGTGCAAAGTGTAACAAAATCCACAACAGCAACGACTGTGCTCTATGATATCGCAATGTGCAAAACAGGTGTTGTCAGTCTTATCAATCGGAACATCATTCCCGAAACGAAAGCTTATATTGGCTTATCTTGTGCGGTCTTGGATATGCAGCTCTGGTTAGCATTCGTAATGCAAAGCGCGTTGGGAAAATAATTGAAGCGGACACGCGCACGTGGAGGAGGTAAAAAAAAACGAGTGTAGTTAAAAAAAGGAGAAGTAAAATTTAAAAAAAAAGACAAAAGCTTTCGTAGCAGAAACTTGTTTTATTTTTCGATCATTTGGGTTGCCACAAAAATAAGAACTGAAACATATATAATTAAACGTGCTTAAAATCATAAAATAAAAAGTAATATTGTATCAAAAGTATATACAATAACAATTCGTAAAATAACAAGAAGACAATAGGAAGAAACAAGAGGCATGCGTTATGTCAAATTATATATTTGGTGTTTTCAAATATTCAATTCGCGTGTATACTAACCGAGAATAATCAAAAGGCAGACGAGAATCGCCGCCAACGCGCCCATGCTCAGCTTGAGCGTTTGACCCTCCTGGACCAGCTCGCAGTTCTCGCCCCAGAAACCGTCGGGACAGATGCATCGGTATCGGAATCGCGGGTCCTGATTGATACATCTGCCACCGTTCAGGCAGGGATAGTCAATGCACTCGTTTTTGTCCATGCACCCTTTGTTATCCGGCGAGGGAATCCTCCCCTCCCCGCAACTGCGACGAAGAAATTGCATTACGATATAGCGACTGTCTCGAAAAAAACTTAACGAATGCAAGTAATACTGATACCCACGTGCAGTCGTACTCGTTCCAGAGATCGATGCACTCGAAGGGATCCTGACATATGACATTGGCGCACGGCTTGTTCGACGGACAATTCCTCTCCAGATTTCGCGCCATCGTCGCTTGACCCCATTGAGTGCCGTTCATGGCGGGTGGTAGCGGAAGATGTTTCCCCTCTAATCTTATGTCGTCCAAACAACCTGAGATTTTTATTAAAAATTACTTAAAATCATTAATAGCTAAATTTATTTTGTTACGTAAAAAATTCGAAATAGACGTGATTATAAAATTCTCAAAATGAAGTCGATCAGATTTCTTTATTTCTCAAACGAAACTGTAATTTCTTTTACGTAACTTATATCCAGATATATATTTTATTTTATAGTTATAATTAAAAATTATGCAGAGTTTATCTGCCATTTAAATAAATACATATAAATTCAAAATATTATTTTAAGTTGATACTGCAATAATAAAAGCGCATTTATATTTAATTGCTTCCATGAAGCGAACTCAGAGTTATACCTTTCTGATAATCCGCGTAAACTTCAAATGTGCGAACGCCAGTGTATTCCGCCTTGCCACCCGCGTAGACACCCTCCTGTTTGTCGACCAGGAGCCACTGGTGGCCCTCGAAGGAGAAGGTCTCGTTGAATCTACGTCCCTCACCGCCGTCCAGCTCCAAAGTTGCGGCGGATCCGTATCTCGACACTCTGACTGTGTGCCACTGTCCATCGTCGACGGCTATTGCCGAGAGCCAGATGTCTCGCTCTTCTGTCCTAAGACTGTTCAGATTATATCTGAAGTGCAGTCTGCTGTCTTTGATCTGGAAATATAAACAAACAGATGTGGCAAACAATCCGTTAAATTTCTTTTTTTTTTTTTTTTTTTTAACGAACTTAACTTATTCGAAAAGTAATGCACGTGGCGCAATTTAAAAATCTAGATTTTTCGAAGGCAGGTATATTTGAAGACACATCAGAAATAATTTTAGATAATTAATTTTGTTCTATATGTATATGTGTCTAATAAGTAAAAGATGCAGATTTTGTGATCACACATTTTACTTTATGCAAAATATATTTTGTTAAAAGCAATATCGAAAATGAGTCATGCAAGAATAATACAGTGAGATTAAAACGCTTCAAATTGCAATCGTATGCGACTCGAATATTAAACGGCGAATAATTAATCCTTCATGAATAATAAAATCGTTTAATGGGCTGCTGTGTTTTGTAAAAGGATCTAGGAAATATTTGATGTGAAAAAAAAAGTAATCCTTCAATAATTTTTAAAACGCGTCGCGCGCTTACCTCCAAAATGGCGTATTCCCTGTTGTGCTGGTCGCTCACACGGAACAGCTCGCCGTGAATCTCGCGGGTGCGGAATCGCAGCTGCACCTGAGTGGAGTACTTATCCGGCTCGAAGGACAGCGCGTACTTGACGTAGCTCTGGGGCTTGAAGGTGGTCGGGATCGTCGGCGTCATGCATCCCGGGCCGGTCCAGCCGGGATTGCACTGGCATCTCGCCTCGGTGAAGCTGCCGACGCAGGTGCCGTGCTCCCAGCAGCGCAACGTCGACTCCTGATTGTTGCAGCTCTCCTCCGTCTGCGGGCAGCCGGCGACGCTGTTGCGCGAGAGGCCCGGATGGGCGAGGTCGTACAGCTTGCTGTTGTGGAACAGATTCTTGATGCAGCCGTCGAAGCCCTTGCCCACCGGCATGTGCTTCCACTTGTAGTGCGTCGGGTCGAATTGCTCCACGTAGAGACCGCCGATCTGCAGCGGCGCGTTCACGTTCAGGTACTCGTTGAACGGCGGTATCGTGCCCGTGGCCTGGCAGCTAGTGTCGTTGAATTCCGGCTGGTTCCCGTCCTCCAACTCGGATATCTCCGCGGATTTGCAGAAGTCGATGATGAGCTTCACGGTCTGCGGATAATTCGCGCGTTAGGAATATTTTACATTTATAGAAGATATAGTAATTATTCACAGTTGAAAATGTAGGTGCAGTACTAGTGTTGCATAATCTGTATTTTTTAAAACTACTGCTGGTGCATCCCCCAAGATTTGTAAGCGAATAATATAAGTAATATCGATGATTTTACCTCCGTATTCCAGAAAATGTCAAGTCGATGCCATTCGCCGTCGTCCAAGGTTTTCTTCGGTTTCACTTTCAGCTCCAAAGTGCCAGATCCAAAATCGATCAGTAGCCTCGGTATACCGCGTTCCAATTCGACCGAAATAAAGTCTGTCGATATTTAAAATTAGTGTAATAAAATCATTGAAAAACGTTAAAGATATAAAAGTTCAAGGAATGAGAGATCTTACCGGAAACCATTGTCTCGTCGACTTCGGGAGGAACAATCGGGCCGTTGTACAATAACAGCCCGTCAGATTTTCTCGTGATAAACTCGAAGCTCAAGTGACTGTTGTCGCACATCTCCAAAGCGGGATACCACGCCCACCCGTTGCCTCGAAAACTTCTCGCGGTCTGCTGACACCTCGGACCGTTGTAGCCAGACGGACATTGACATCTGGAATTGTAAAACACATTTTAAAAAAACTCTAACAATAATCAAAAGAAGATAATCGAAATTATTTAAGAGAATAATCATCATAATTCATTTTTATATTTACAGAAACGACAAAGAGTCTCTGTTGCCAGCAAATTTCGCGCAAATGCATTGCGATTCGCAATATATAATTCAATTGATTTTCACTTACGACAATCCGAATCGATCTTCCACGCAGCGTCCGCCGTTGTAGCAAGGGCTGTTCCTGCAGGACTCGCCCTTGCTGAAGTTCCGCGCTCCGCAGGTGCACTCGGCTATCACGTCCACGCGCACGCCGACCAGGGCGGTCCGGTTCGCGTTCACCATGTACGGCAGGTTGCTGATATCGAGGGTGTTCGTACAACTGCCCTCGCACATCTCGTTCTCGTAGTAACACTCGTCGATGCCGACCATAGTTATGTTGATACCCACGTCTTTCTCGATCTGATTCGGAGATGTGATTTAATTAACGCGTTATATATTAGAAATTTATTTTAACTCGTAATCTTTTATTCAATGTAATTTTTGAAAGCATTTATAATATCTTCAAACAGTTTAATTAGTATGTGTTCTATTAGGAATTTGATTTCTCTTGATCTTCTATTCAACGCAAAATTCTTTCAAAGCATTTGAAACTGAATCTTCAAACAGTTTCCGTGAATGACATTCACCTCTTCGCGATGCATAAGTACGATGCCGTTAAGCCTGACCGGTTTGTAGTACAGCGAGCCGTGTGCGGCGAATCTAACGTCCGTCAATGGTGGATGGACTCTCCTTAATTGAACGCTGAAAACGTCCACGTTATCCCTGTCGATGTTCAGTAGATGCGACAGCTTGTCCCTAAACAGATCCGCTTTGCTCCGCGACAGAGTTTGATTCTGAAAGTTAAGTAAATCTTATAGAACCTACGCTAAAATACAAAGATTATTTAAAAAGAAATTATTCGTAAAATTTAAGAACCAAAATCTATTTTTATTTATTAAAGAAAAATGGCTAATAAAATGTAATATGTCTACATCAATTATATAATATTTAATAGGATTTAGAGGATTTAATAGGATTTTCTCACCTGATAATTCCAGACACGAATAAAGTCCTCGTCCGTTATCCCGGATATTCGAACCGAGCCTGAGTTTAACACCGCCTCGTGCGGGATATTTTTGACGGTGACGGTCACGTTCGCGGGCACGTCCGTCTGCGTGTGCTTCCGATCGTAGACCTTGAACCGTAGGTGATACTTGCCGTCGTGCGTGGCGGATTTCATGTAAATCATCCCCGAGTCCTCGTCGAGCCTAAATTGCGCGTGCTCCAGTCCCTCCCAGTAGAATTTCTTGTCCGGCAGATCCCAGTCGTCCAAATCGTACACGTACACCCTACCTATCTCGGTATCCGGCGATTGTCCCTAAAGAGAGAGAGAGAGAGAGAGAGAGAGAGAAATTAATTAAATTATATTATGTACAGAGCTGTCCAGAAATCAACAATTGCTTGATGTAATTTTTTTTTGGGTTCGTATTGTCGGTGTAAAAATTTAGATATTTGATTTGATATAATTTAGATACGTACTGCGTAATTATATACAAAGATTTCCTTGGAGCCAGGCTGCATTTTATTATCATTAACGTCCCCTATGATAACCGTCAAGGTACTGGTCCCAGACATAGAAGGGTTTCCGGAATCTTTGATGACAATGGGAATCAGGAACTCCTTTTGTTGCTCCCTGTCAAAGGATCGTAAAGACGACACTACGGCCATTCCGTCTCCATTAGCTCCCTCTGAAAAATAATGAGAGGACGAGTGATAAACTGCACTCTGAAACCCATTTCTATTCAACTGCATTTTTTGTAATTGGAACGAAATATAATGTTGCGTAAAAGCTTCGCAAATTGTCTTAAAGAATAATTTGCGCTGAAATTTATTTATTTAATTAACGAAACTTACTGTTGTCGCTTTCAACCTTGAAGCTAGCTCTGATAACATCGTTCGCGTTGGGGTCCATCCGGAAAGTGAACGGAGGGCCGTTGCTCCTTGACCGATCGTCGTCATCGGTAGCGAGAATCTCGACGACCTTCTTGGTTTGCGCGTATTCCGGTAAAACTGGACGATAATCCTTGAGGAATCTCGGTGGATTATCATTAATATCCTGTACAACGACTGTCAGAGTAGCTGTCGCGGTTTTAGGCGGTATTCCATCGTCGATCGCCAAAATTTTAACCTGAGAAAATAGATTTTTGTATGTTAAATAATTGTATTTTTAATCGTTCTTACATAAATTCACATTTAATTTTAGTTAGATTTGGTATTAATAATACGTAAATTTTTTAATCGGGATTTATAAAAGTCTATCATAATTTTATTTTAACCAAACGTGATATTCCAGTTTTTACCACACACGTGATTATTTAATAATAATATTAAAAAAATATACGAATTTTCTTAATCTGTATTGACATTTTAATGTTTACCTGATGGCGAGGAGTTTCCTCGCGATCGAGACTTCTCTGTATCGATACGGTGCCATTCTCATTGATGAAGAACTGTCTCTTTCGATCGGAGCTCCTGTCGATGGAATACGAGACCTTGCTCTTGCCACCTTGATCCGGATCGGTGGCCTTGAATGTTTCCAGGCTGCTGCCAATGCGAGCATTCTCCGGCACAGTAGTCTCGATATTGGCTTTCTCGAATTGTGGCTGATTGTCATTGATATCTCGCAATTTCACGACCACCCAGGAATAGGCCACGTGGTATTTGTCGTTGTCATTGTCTTCACCCTGGAAAGACAATTGTCCGATTAAAATCGTTAAATTGTTGTGTACACGAGAGAGTTATTTTGTATTCATATATTTCACACGCACACAATAATTTTATAATTTAAATATACGAGAAAATTAATTTTTCTCGTAAAATTATTAATTTTCAGAAAAACAATTTTAATTAAAAATTTTGTAAACGCATTTGATAAAGATACTTAATTAAAATTTTTATTAACGCACACGCAATTTAAATACAAATTTTACAAAATTATATTTAATATTAGTATTTCTTCATACTATGTGCTCTGTTTTTATCGTTAAAAGTCAACATCATATATTTTTCTTTGCTCACCTTATCGTTTACTTGTATCCTAAACCTAAAGCCATTACTCTGCAGTTGGTCCTCGTAATCCAGCGATTGCACAATCTTCAACGATCCAGTGCCGTCGTTGTTTCGTACCATGGTAAATTTGTCGGCACCGTAACCGCTGTTCTCGATTACCTGTGTTACATCATGAATTATTATTTTTCAATATTGCTAAGCATTGTTGTCAGTGTATTGAATAACAGAAGCTAGTGACTGTGTACTATTTCAATCTCAAAAATTCGCTCCATTGAAAATATATAGAAGCGCAATCAGACACTTTACGATATTTCTAAAATTCTATTTTCATCTCCTCTTATGCGTATTAATTTAATTTTATGCACTTACCTTTTTTTAAGTTTACGCGTATTATATTTATGAAAATACAACGCGTCGTAATTATGAATTTTATTCCGGTAACCGCTGATATATAGATATATATATGCATATATTTTTTCATTTACATATTACAATAACATTTTTAATTGCGCGTTAAGTGAAGGTAGCGCGGAACGCGAAAGAGTGCAACGACCTATGTGATTATTTTAAACAACCTATTTCGAAAGCCTATTAAAAATTTCGCGTCGCGCTCGCGTAAGGGGATATACCTTGTATTGGAATTTATTGGTCTCGTCCTCGTCGTGGACGGTTACGGTGAGTATCGGCATCTCCGGCAGATCTGGCCCCTCCGTCTCGTCCACTTCGGTGAACCACTCATCCTTCGTGAATTGCGGTGGCATGTCGTTTATGTCTTTGACCCGTATCGATGCCGTTCCGGTGCCTGCCAAGAAATGCATAGAAATGCTGCAACGATGCCTCTCCGTGGAATATCCTAGGCGGCTCTTAAAATATGCAAAACGGCATTGCTATCGCTCGCGGAAATATCTCGCAGCCGTTTCTGTACGCGCGTGGTGTGGCACGGACTTTCCGACTTTCGTACTTGAATACAGATGAACATCCGAAATGTAACTGATAAAAGACGCGTGGTGAGAAAGCGGTAATATTTTATTAGGCGGGTGTAAAAAATAATAAGAATGTAAAATAAGGAGGAATAGTCGATCGTACTCGTTTTACATTCACGACAAATTTTCTACTGAATAGAATTCACAGAAGTAGCACAAAAATTAATTATGAATGAAAACTGTCACAATTGTTAAGACTTTACTTGAGATATTAAGGGAGATAGGAACAAACGATAACGATGATTATTAATAACTGCAATTAAAAAGGGGTGTCCCTAGTAAAAATTCCGTTAGAAATGGATAGAATATGCTGTTTTACTATATGCGTTTTTTGTTCCTGCAATTACGGATAGAAGCTGATGAAATGTGATGCAGGTTCCAATAGAACAGTAACAAAGCAGTGGGAAAGGCTTGTAACTGCTTGTAATTGATTTTATGTGCAAACGTAATTACGAATCCTATCCGTTTCTATACACATTCAGTTTTGAATGTCTATCCGCATCTGATTGCAGAACCTGATGGGATATCTATCTGTATTTTTAAT